ACCTCCCCCGATGCTCCTTTGAGACCCTCAAGGCATATGAGCACAGAGGGAATACTGAGCCAAATAGATACAGTGCATTTATATCAACTATGTTTATACTAGGTCGTAGGTACCTTCATACATCGCTATAAGGATCGCACTAATTTTGTACTAAATGGTATCCTGTGGGTACCTCATGTGTCGTCACTCTCAAGCCCTATCACAGGTTATGCTAACTGGTTCATATGTTAAACCAGCCTGCGAATGTTGGACAAGTGTTTTCAAATGATAACGCCTGGATTGGATAAAAAGCAAGTTGTTACAATATGCGGCTAATAGAAACAGGATGGCTCAGATGAAATTTAACGCATATTGTGCCCAACAGTGGCTAGCGTATTTGTCGCATAGTGGTGGCTGTGTTAGCTATGCAACACGATCACCGACTGCGGTAGTCATCAGTGATCCCTGAATAAGATAAACGAATGCTTTTTTCTGAGAATTGTACCCCATTGTGAGCTTTTCACAAAAAGGCAGCTCACATTAATTGGAATATGGGAATTCATCCTTCCACAGAAAAACAATTTTGAATTTACAAAACATCAACAGAGCTCTCTGCTATTTCAACATCGACGGCGGAAATTCAAGTGGCAAAAATCTGTGGAGAAATGAGGTTTTGCGGCAGGTCAGGCATTCTTTTCGGCTTCCCCCCAAATTATTTTGGAAAGTGATACCCCTGCTTCGACCTATTGTCATCCAGAGAAACAAATTGGCATTTACATTACCTATGCAGAACTACGGTTACTACATGAGTAACCGAAAGCGAGGTGGCAGTGGTGGTAAACCAAACACCAATGGATAACAACGTATATCAAATAATCAAATAAATAACCGGACACCAGCAAAATCAAATGAACAACTTAAAAGTCAACAAGTTGATAAGTGTTTGGCATACAGCAGTAGCGACGCATTACGAAATAGCGCAGACGATGTATATAGTTGAATGCGAAATGCGGATGCTAATGTTTGACGAAATTTATTTATCCTAATATACACACACACACACACACAC